AAATATTTAATAATGATAGTATATTTATAGATCATAATATATTTTAATATAATTCTATTATATATTTTAATATATTTATTTTTATATCCTTTTATATCATATATTTTAGAGAATATATTTCAATATAATGTTTTATAGAATCTACTTTACCTGACCATTTTTATTTTAATTAAAATACATTATAGATATAAATTATTAAAATATTAAATATAAATACATTAAAATATATTTTGCTTTGAAATGTGTGATTTTCAAATATCATATTCTGGTGTAATGTTTTAATATGATATTGAAATATGATATTTTTTAAAAATCTATTAAATATTTTTACCATATCATTTTTCACCCCATAACTCAGTTTAACCCACGCAGGGCTAAATCCAGCACCGAATTTTCCTCTCCTCCAAAAATTCCCCTGAATTCCTTTCAAACATTGGCACCTCCAGCTCTCAGATATTCCTGAATTCCAGCCCCTCTCTGGTTTCCAAAAGAAAACAACCGGGCAGGAAATCATTATTTGGGTTTGGGAGGCTCCTCTTCCTGAGGGGCTGCCTGGAAAAATCACTGGAAAAGCTGGAAAAGCCTCTGGAAAAGATGGAAANCTGTCCCCAAGGCTGGGGTGGTTCTGCAGGACGGAAGGCTGGGCCCTGGGATGACTGGGATGGGCTGTCCCCAAGGCTGGGGTGGTTCTGCAGGACGGGCTGTCCCCAGGGTGGTTCTGCAGGACGGGCTGTCCTCAGGGTGGCTCTGCAGGATGGATTGTCCCCAATGCTGGGGTGGCTCTGTGGGACTGGCTGTCCCCAAGGCCAGAACCTGGGGTGGCTCTGTGAATGGCTGTCCCCAATGCTGGGCTGGCTCTGTGTGACAGTCACTCCTGCTCTCGGCTCAGGTGGCAGGAGGCTCCCACAGCCCCCCAGTGCTGGCAGAGGTAGCGCAGGCCAGGACACCACCAGAGTTCCTGTGGCCCTCTGGGTTCAGCCTTCCCCGGGCAGGACACGCTCCAAGGACGAGGATTCCAGCGGGAGATTCACTCTCCTCCTCCTCTTCCTCCTCCTCTTCCTCAACAAGGCCTCCTGAGGGCCCAGCCGGAGCCTGACCCACCATGGGAGATCTGGGGGGTCCTGGCGCAGCTCCCCCCGCCCAGAGGGGCCCTCAGGAGGAGAAGCAGAGCCCGCAGCACTCCATGCAGATCTCCAGGCAGTCGGCAGACTCGCAGCAGGCGTCGATGATGCCGCAGTCCATGTCGCAGGGCAGGTCGCAGTCCGCGCACTCGCCCGAGTTGCAGCAGCAGCAGCAGATGCAGGAGTCCTCCGAGGTGCAGGAGCCGCACGTGGCACAGTCCAGCACGATGTTGCACAGGGTCAGGAACTCGCAGAACAGGCAGGAGAGGATGCAGTGCACGCAGCAATCTGGGGAGGAACGCAGGGTGAGACAAGGCCGGGCTGGGGGAGCACCCGAGGGTGGAAATGCTCCCTCAGGAATTCATGGAAGGGAGCGGAAAAGGGGTCGGGAGAGAGTCTCCCTCAACATCCAGCCCTCAACAGAGACCAATTTTGGAGGACAGGAGATGGCCAGGAGGATCCAGGGGTCCTGCTGAGCTCAGAGGATGCCACCAAGAGATCCCAAGGGATGAGGGNTGGAAAAGGTGGAAAAGATGGAAAAGCTCCTGGAAAAGATGGAATATGTGGAAAAGGCTTTGGAAAAGGTGGAAAGGCTCTGGAAAATGTGGAAAAGGGATTGGAAAAGCTGGAAAAGCTGGGAAACCTGTGGAATAGGTGGGAAAGCCTCTGGAAAAGGAGGAAAACATTTGGAATAGGTGGGAAAACCTCTGGAAAAATTGGACAAGACTCTGGGGAAGGTGGGAAAGGCTTTGGAAAAGTTGGAAAAGCCTCTGGAAAAGCTGGAATGGCTCGGAAAAAGGTGGGAAACCTCTGGAAAAGGTGAAAAAACTGGAAAAGCTCGGGAAAATATATAAAAGGCTCTGGAAAAGCACTTTCTGGATTTCTTGTCCAGAGGATGCTCCACGTTCCTGGCAGGTTCTGGAAAGGCTCAGGAAAAGCTGGAGAAGGGTTTGAAAAAGCTGGAATATGTCTGGAAAAGCGCTGGGTTTTCCATGCAGAGGATGCTCACGTTTCTGGCAGATTCTGGAAAGGCTCAGGAAAAGCTGGAGAAGGGTTTGGAAAAGCTGGAAAAGGCTCAGGAAAAGCTCTGGAAATAGCAGAAAAGGCTCAGGAAAATCTGGAGAAGGGTTTGGAAAAGCTGGAATATGTCTGGAAAAGCGCTGGGTTTTCCATGCAGAGGATGCTCACGTTTCTGGCAGATTCTGGAAAGGCT